TTATTTTTATTTTTAGTAGTTAGTGCTGTTAAGCAGGATTTGTTGTAACCTTGAAGAAAAATGTTTATTGAAATTGTTATTTTGTAATGGGGTTTTCCCGTATAGTAATAAATAAATAAATAAGTCAAGAGATTCTGTCAATGGCACTTTTGTGAATAGGGACACGACATCAAAGCTGACCAGGATCTCGTTAGGTTGAAGAATAATATTCCTAATTTTCCGAACAAAATGAGTGAAGTCCTTGACGTAAGAACTAGTTTTTCTTACATGCGGTTGAAGAAGCGATGCAAGATGTTTCGCTAAGTTGTAAGTTCAGGTGCACTCACTATAGGAGTTAGCGGGACTTCCGGTTTGTAAATTTTGGGTAGGCCATAGAGTCGTGGTGGAACTGCTTCTGTTTTTATGATGCCTTTCTTAACCGTGTCTGTTAGGGTAGGTGACCTAATCAGTTTGTTGGTATTCCGGAGTGTGGCTTGTGCGGCATCCTTCTTTAGCTTTCGGTAAGTAGAAGGATTAAGGAGTTCCTGAATTTTCCGGTTGTAGTCTTCAGTTCTTAACAGGACAGTTGCGTTGTCCTTATCCGCAAGTAGGATGATCATATCTTTCGCTAAATTCGAGTTCTTAACTGCATTTAGTTCCTTCTTAGAGAGGTTACTGGTTGGTGGTCGAGCCTTTCGTAGAATATTGGCCGTCTCAATACGGATTTCTTCCGCTTCCAAATCAGGTAGTGCTCGGATGGCTGCTTCGGTGCTGGTTATAATCTCCTCCGTTGATAGATGTTGTAGAGTGTTTGCGAAATTACCGCCTTTTGCCAAGTTTCCTCTTCGGTAAGGACTCGATCCGTGAGATTGGTGACCAGTCTGGATTTGTCAGGTGTTGAAGAACGAAAAAGTTAAGAAGAAATTCCAACTTACGACGACCATTAAGCCCGAATGAAAACACTTTATCATTGAACCAGGCGAAAGCCTCACAAATTTTACCAGTTCAATAATATCAGTTTATTGAAGAAAGTCAAGAATCTAAAAGAAAAAAATAACCAATAAGTGAAAGACACGATGAAACACATCATCGACCAGCAACTATGTATTATTTAATTTATCGATATTGCTAGACTGAATAATTCTTTTTCTATTAAAGCAACAAACAGTATAATGCACCGTTACAATAATTATTTGCAACAAGATTGAATTCTCAGATCCGAGCTCATTTAAGGCCTCATTCGCACGAAATACTTATACAGCACAATACACTTTATACTTTCACCGACTTTGTTATTGTAATTGGGCCCTTATCTTGTAAATTATTTTGTATTGATGACCAAAATGAATAAATCTATAGTGGTTTACAATCAATGGAAATTATTGCCTTGAATATTAGCATAATCGTCTGGAGTTTTAAAAGACAAACACGGGCTCACGTCAATACCCAAAAATAGACTATATAATGCTCAAACTTAATTAAATTAAAAGGATTTTTCCCCCTATTATTATATTAGCAAATATTAGGGTGTCTTAAGTACCAATACATTTTTGTTTAAATGAAAATTTCTCATGTGCATATAAGCCGATGTATGTCACACATCACATCGCCGATCGTGACAATTCCAGCAAAATGAGTGAAAGTACAATGCGTTTGGTTTAAAACATAATTAGTGAAACTTTCTTTTACAAATTCTATGTTCTACCCAGTGAAAGTAAAATGCCCCTTAGGGCGCACGATTATCTTTTACACAGGGATTTGTAGAATAATAATAATTAATGTGAGAGACTAGGTATAAGCTAATTATAGATGAATATTATTTGAAAAAAATACTTCCTTGAGTAGCTGCAATTAATGTGGAAACAATATGAAACGGAAGTTTCGTCCTCTGCACTTCTGAAAATGTTATATGTTATCGCAGCAGTAGACGAAACGTTAGGTAGAAATACTAATAGACCACGGGATTATAGCCTGGAAAAAACTTTTTTACTAGATTTGATTGGCCGTGAAAGCCTTTATTCTTAACTCCGGAACAAATTCAAGAGATACTTTGTATGTCTGGAATTACACTCAAATAGATATTGAATCTGATTTCTATCCACCCCTATATGACAAAATCTCCACAGGATTCCAACCCTTTTTTAACAGTGAGATTTATTGTGTAATCAGCCACAATTGAAAACGACCTCTTAAATTGTTCCCCTGCATATGAGGGTTGCTGAATATTTGCCTAATGAATAAGGGAAGCTCTTCTATTGGCCAAAAAATGCAGCTGGAAGTCCAAAATTAGATACAGTATCGTTACAAGGTGTTAAAATGGTTTGTTTTCTCAAGTGCCATGCCTAATAGAGCAACAGCTTCCGGTTAAGGTCTCCCGGCCTCTTACAAAACAAAGTTGCAATATTGTTTAAAATATATACACTCGATGAAACACTAATCGTCAAGTTCCTACCTTACTTCTTTTATTAGTATTAATAATATACTCATTGCCCTGGGGGGGCCTATTATTAACTTGATACGTTACATAAAGCACAGGAAATTTGTTGAAATTGGCTTGTTGTCTTTTACAACATTTACGAATTTAATTAGGATTTATAATTAGATTAAAGCAGGCCAACGCATCGTTTATTTTGAATGAAATCGAATTCTTCAATGATAAATCTAGAGAAACCTAACAGTAAAGTTCTTTGCCGATGGTTTATTATACTGAATATAAATTCTCGGTGTTGCCAGACTGTTACCTAAAAGTTCAAGCTTTGCTGGATCGCATTATAATAATTAGTTTGAACAAAGGCGCTCGCCCAAATGGCCGGCAACCAGGCCCAGTTTTTAAAGGGAACCTTGACTTTGCGAGAGGTGGAACCCAACAGGTCGTTTCGAACATTCTTTGCGAGCCATAAGGGGATCGATGTAATAAAGTGAAGACACTTTTATAATACAAAATACTCTATTTCCAAGTTGTTAAATTCATTAATAAGATTGAAAATGAGTTTTAAAGGGAACTTGAAACTTAGATGGAACAAGCATTGAGATCTACTTTACATTTAAATAACTTCAATAATTCTATTATTACATATTGATATAAAATACACTATTTTCTTGTTAGTAAAGTATCCGGGCAAATTTTTATTTTTTAGCATATTATGTAGGTACCTATATCCGTTTCTTAGTCCGAGGTTTGTAACATTAAATATGTATATCCTCGATGAATATATATTTGAGGTTCCTTTTGCTATACCTTTACCAAACACCAAAAGTGTTCTAGATCATGTTCTTGGTATTCTGAAGTGTTCTGAAATGTCTCTATATAACCAATTTTACAGGGTTCATGAAATTTCTAATTTTATTAAAGGCCTAATTTATAGTCGTTCCTTGGGTCTTCCTTGAAGGTCGTGAGTTTAGAATGGACACTTGTTACTATGTAACGAGTTAGTCATGTCAATTCTAAATGTTCAAGTTCAAGGCCTTCTTAAGATATGAGGAAACCTCAAGGAGCGACTAAAAATTCGGCCCTGAAAGTGTTCCGAAACTAAACGTTCATTGGATCTGATCATCTGGAAGTGCTCTAAAATGTTCTTGACACACGGGGTAAACCACCATCCCAGAATTGGTGCAAACAATTCCTCAAAGGGGAATTTTTTACGCATAATTCTTGCAAATTCCTCCAAATACCCCATCACAAACTTCCCCAAATAACCCACAAATTCCTCTAAACTTCTCTCAAATTTCCTACAAATGTTTCTTACAAGTGGAAAACAGCAACATGAAAAATCTTTGGAATCAACCTACAAAAACTGAATTAGTTGAAAATACAATCTCACACATTTCAAAGTTTTCCTGAAAAACTAGTGAAGAGAAAATTTTGAAACTTTTTGCATGTAAAGACAAAGGTGAGAACATCATTTTCCCAAAATTTCAAATTTTTCCGGTGAAAAACAGCAACGTGAAAAATCTTGGAAATCAACCTACAAAAACTGAATTAATTGAAAATACAATCTCACACATTTCAAAGTTTTCCTGGAAAACTAGTGAAGGGAAAATTTTGAAACTTTTTGCATGTAAAGACAAAGGTGAGAACATCATTTTCCCAAAATTTCAAATTTTTCCGGTGAAAAAAGCAACGTGAAAAATCTTGGAAATCAAGCTACAGAAACTGAATTAATTGAAAATACAATCTCACACATTTCAAAGTTTTCCTGGAAAACTAGTGAAGGGAAAATTTTGAAACTTTTTGCATGTAAAGAGGAAGGTAAGAAGCTCATTTCCCAAAATTTCAAATTTTTCCAGTGGAAAACAGCAACATAAAAAATCTTGGGAATCAACCTACAAAAACTAAATTAGGTGAAAATACAGTCTCACACATTTTAAAGTTTTTCTGGAAAACTAGTGAAGGGAAAATTTTGAAATTTTTGGCATGTAAAAAGGAAAGTGAGAAGCTCATTTTCCGAAAATTTCAAATTTTTCCATTAGAAAATTACAATATGAGGAATCTTGGAAATCAACCTACAATAACTGGATTAATTGAAAATACAGTCTCACATATTTCAAAGTTTTCCTGGAAAACTAGTAAAGAAAAACTTTTGAAACTTTTTGTATGCGAAGAGGAAGGTGAGAAGCTTATTTTCCTAAAATTTCAAATTTTTTCAGTGGGAAACAGCAACATGAAAAATCTTGAGAATCAACCTACAAAAACTGAATTAGTTGAAAATAAAGTCTCACACATTTCAAAGTTTTCATGGAAAACTAGTAAAGGGAAAATTTTGAAACTTTTTGCATGTATAGAGGAAGGTGAGAATCTTATTTTCCGAAAATTTCAAATTTTTCTATTAGAAAATTACAATATGAGGAATCTTGGAAATCAACCTACAATAACTGGATTAATTGAAAATACAGTCTCACATATTTCAAAGCTTTCCCGGAAAACTAGTAAAGGGAAAATTTTGAAACTTTTTGCATGTGAAGAGGAAGGTGAGAAGCTTATTTTCCCAAAATTTCAAAATTTTTCAGTGGGAAACAGCAACATGAAAAATCTTGGGAATCAACCTACAAAAACTGAATTAGTTGAAAATAAAGTCTCACACATTTCAAAGTTTTCGTGGAAAACTAGTAAAGGGAAAATTTTGAAACTTTTTGCATGTATAGAGGAAGGTGAGAATCTTATTTTCCGAAAATTTCAAATTTTTCCATTAGAAAATTACAATATGAGGAATCTTGGAAATCAACCTACAATAACTGGATTAATTGAAAATACAGTCTCACATATTTCAAAGCTTTCCCGGAAAACTAGTAAAGGGAAAATTTTGAAACTTTTTGCATGTGAAGAGGAAGGTGAGAAGCTTATTTTCCCAAAATTTCAAATTTTTTCAGTGGGAAACAGCAACATGAAAAATCTTGAGAATCAACCTACAAAAACTGAATTAGTTGAAAATAAAGTCTCACACATTTCAAAGTTTTCGTGGAAAACTAGTAAAGGGAAAATTTTGAAACTTTTTGCATGTATAGAGGAAGGTGAGAATCTTATTTTCCGAAAATTTCAATTTTTTCTATTAGAAAATTACAATATGAGGAATCTTGGAAATCAACCTACAATAACTGGATTAATTGAAAATACAGTCTCACATATTTCAAAGCTTTCCCGGAAAACTAGTAAAGGGAAAATTTTGAAACTTTTTGCATGTGAAGAGGAAGGTGAGAAGCTTATTTTCCCAAAATTTCAAATTTTTTCAGTGGGAAACAGCAACATGAAAAATCTTGGGAATCAACCTACAAAAACTGAATTAGTTGAAAATAAAGTCTCACACATTTCAAAGTTTTCGTGGAAAACTAGTAAAGGGAAAATTTTGAAACTTTTTGCATGTATAGAGGAAGGTGAGAATCTTATTTTCCGAAAATTTCAAATTTTTCCATTAGAAAATTACAATATGAGGAATCTTGGAAATCAACCTACAATAACTGGATTAATTGAAAATACAGTCTCACATATTTCAAAGTTTTCCTAAAAAACTAGTGTAGGGAAAATTGCGAAACTTTTTGCATGTAGAGAGGAAGGTGAGAAGCTCATTTTCCCAAAGTTTCAAATTTTTCCAGTGAAAAACAGTAACATGAAAAATTTTGGAAATCAACCCTACAAACTGTATTCATTATTATTTTGAATTTTTTAAATTTGGACCTGTAAGTGAATCATGAAGTGTAATTTTGGGAGGATTTCTTTATTAAAAATGAATATCCAACGTCCAACACAAAACTAGATTTTTTTTTAAATTTCTATTTATAACTAGTTCTTATAATAAGAATGTGAACCTCAGTGATGTCATGACCCTACAATTTCCTTTAAATTCCTCATAAATTCTCCCAAATTCCACTTTAAAAATTCTTTCAAATTCCCTAATTTCTCATAAATCTCGATGAGTTCCTTCAAATTCCCCACAAATTCCTCTAAATTTTCCACAAATTCCTCTAAATTTCCCACAAATTCCTCTAAATTCCCCACATTTTTGGCAAAAAATTCCTAAGTGGTTTGCCCGTTGTCTCGACATTTCTGGATTATTGGTTCTCTAGAGAGAATTTTTAAGTTTCAATCACTGAATCACTGCAGAGTTTTTGATTGGTAATTGGGGTTTTGGAACGCCTAACAGGCTTTTTAGTTGGTTAAAAAACAACAATTTTTCTTTAGGAATGCTCCAAGGTATTCTGAAAGGTTCTGAAATTGCTCTAAAGGTTCCACAGTGTTCTAAATCGTTCTGGAGTGGTTTTAAAAGCTCCATAATACTTGAAAAGTGTTATAGAACATTATTAAATGCTTATGATAGTTCTTATTTGAATTTGAACTTGAAGATGTTCTAAATTATTTGAATAGGTTTTGACATTCTTTTGTGGCACTAAATTGGTTCTAAAACGTTCCCAATTATTTCTTAAATGTCAAAAATGGTTCTGAGGCGTATCATGTTCTAGAGCGTTGGATAAGATATTCTTTTCAGGCACTTAACTGGCTCTAAAGCGTTCAGAACCGGTTTTGAAAGATTCTTAATGCAAGTTCTAGAGGGCCTAAACAAGATTCTGAGTTAATTAAAAGTTAAAAAACAAAAGTTTTCGTTTAGGAAAGTTCCAAAGGATTCTGAAAAGTTGCACAGTGTTCTGAATCGTTTTGGAATTGGTCTAAAGTTGGAACGTTCTAAAATGCTTGTGATAGTTCTAACTTCAATCTGAACTTGGAGTATTTCTAAATTATTCTGAAAACTTTGAACTGAATGAAAAGGTGTCCTGGAATGTTCTTCAAAGTGTTCTAGATTTTTTGTTTTGTCTATTCAAATGTCGGAGTTGGTTCTGAAGTGTTTGAATCAATTTTGATGTTGTTTTCCAGCACTAAACTGGTTCTAAGATGTTCCTACTTGGTTTTTATAATATCAGAATCGGTTCTTAGGTGTCTAATTTACTGTATTCCTTTTACCCGTTGAGTTACTCAGAGCTACTCAATGTCAATGTTCCTTTTAAAAGTGCGTTAAGCACTCGAGTCGTTCATAGTGCATCCCCCTTTCCCCTGATGCACCAAATTTGCGGTGGTGCAAGAAGCCCTTTTAGGAAACGACGGTAATGTTAATATTAAAAAATAATGATAAAATCTGAATTGTGTGTTTTGGAGTGACTCCGAGGAGCTCGTTCGGTGTAACTCGATGTATAATAAAAGGAATACAGTAAATGTGATTTCGACATTTTTGAACTAGTTCTGAGATATTTAGAATCGGTTTAGTGTTCTAAAGGATTCTACAAAGTTCACGAAATCTCAAATTCCATTGATAAAATTTTTCTGGAATTTCCAAATTGGTTCCTGGAACATTTTAAAACAAGTCATTGATCAGTTCCTGATGATTGTGAACCGTTTTTATGTATCTGAATCGGTTTTAGAACGCCTTAACAAACTTCTGGGTTGGTTTTAAAAAATAAGCGTTTTCATTTAGGTGCGTTCTTGAGTTGTTTTGCAAGTTCCAAAGTGTTCTAGAACGGTTCTGAAAGTTCTTAACTGATCTAAACCGTTCTGGAGTTGATGGTTCTAAAAGTCCCAAACTTAAATGAAAAGTGTTAGGGAACCTTCTTGAAGTTCTGTCCTAACTTAATTTTGAACTCTAGGAGAATCTCCATGGAGTATTTTTTAAAATTCTGGTAAATCTAGAAAATGACTTGATTAAGTGGTTTGGAACGCTCTACAAATGCTTCCAAAGTGTTCTTAAATGTTTCTATATTGTCTGAATCGGGTCTGGGATGTTCTAGAACGCTTGTGAGAAGTTTCAATTGGTATAAAAGTTCTAAAATGGTTTTGAAGATTTCAAAGTGTTCTAGAATGGTTCTGGAAGTTAAAAACTAATCTAACGTTTCTGGAATGGTGCTAGAAATTTCAAATTAAATAAAAAGTGTTCTGGTACGTCCTTAATGCTTGAGATAATTCAATTTTGAGCTCTGGAGTATTTTCCTAAAGAGTTACATTGTTTCTATATTGTCTGAATCGGGTCTAGAATGCTTGCGAAAAGTTTCAATTGGTTCTCAGAATTTTAGAACCCTTATCAAGCTATGATAATTTTTGTTAAGAAAGGAGCGTTCTCAAGTAATCTGAATTGTTCTAGAACACGCTCAGTTTCCATTTTGAAAGTGTAGTGCAAGGGTCTACCACAATACTAAATTAGTTTTAAAATTGGTTTAGATTGTGCACTGCACTTTCTGTTCTATTCTAGTTGCTCTACACTTTTCGAACTGCATTTTTTGTACTGGATTTTCTGTTCTGTCCCATCTGTATTGTACTTTTAGCTCTGTAATTTCGTTTGCGGATCAATAAATTTTGAACTCTTGGACTCTTGAAGTATTTCTTGAAACTCTGGAAAGTTTTTAGAAATGATATTGTCTTTGTAAGTAGTTGTATTACTTTCAAGAGTTTAGAACACTAGAGCTACTCACTCCGGTGTTAGTCAACCCTGATTTGAAAGGAACAGATGCGCTGGCTTTCGTGTTTCTTAGTCTGAGGTTTGTACAGTTGAATATATCCTCAATGAATATACCTATTTGGGGTTCCTTTTGCTATTATACGTTTACCAAATACCTGAGATGTTTTAAATTGATTTTGAAGTGTTCTGGATTATGTTCTGAAGTGTTCTAAAATGTCTCTAACCAATTCTACAGGGTGCATGAAACTTCTAATTTTATTAAAAGTGTTCAGAAATTAAACGTTTATTGGATCTTAGGACTAGGCGTGTTCCACAAATTTCGGAATTTGTTCTGGAGCATTTCAAAATTATTCTGTTCTCAAGAATTTTGAAGTTTTAATATATCTGAATCACTTCTGCTGGGGCAAATTTCAATAATAATTGTGAAATTGTTTTGAACCGTCCTTTTTTCAAACCCGAACAGGCCCATTATGGAGCAATATGGAATGCTTGTGATAGTTCTCATATTATGAATGTCCAAATTATTCTGAAAACTCTGAACTAAATGTAAAGTGTTCTGGAGGAATGTTCTTCAAAGTGTTCTAAAATGTTGAAAGTCTATTAAAATTTCCTGGTTCTGGAGTGTTCTAAATTGCTCCAATCGATTTTGATGTTCTTTTCCAGCACTAAACTAGTTCTATAATGTTCTTAATTATTTCTTTTATATTGAAATCCATTCTAAGGTGTCTCGATGTGATTTGGGAATTTTTGCTCTGAAAGGTTCTGAAATGATTTCAACCTATTCTAGAATGGTTCTGAAATGTTCTAGAATGGTTCTGGAAGTTATATACTGATCTAACGTTTCTGTAATGGTTCTAGAAGTTCTAAATTAAATGAAAAGTGTTGTGGTACCTTCTGTAATACTTGAAATAGTTCTAACTTGATTTTGAACTCTGAAGTATTTCCCTAAAGATTTACACTTATCCAGCTTCAAAGTGTTCTTAGCTGTCTCTATATTGTCTGAATCGGGTCTGGGATGTTCTAGAATGTTTGCGAGAAGTTTCAATTAGTTCTCAGAATTTTAAAACTCTTATAAAAGTAATGATAATTTTTGTTAAGAAAGGAGCGTTCTCAAGTAATCTGAAAGGTTCTAAAATGATTTTAAAGGTTTAAAAGTGTTCTAGAACGGTTCTGAAAGTTCTCAACTAAAATATTTGGGAACATTCTTGAATGCTGAGATTCTGTTTTAACTAAATTCTAATTGTTCTAGAACACGCTCAGTTTCCATTTTGAAAGTGTAATGCAAGTGTCTATCAAAATACTAAATTAGTTTCAAATTTGTTTAGATTGTGCACTGCACTTTTTGTTCTATTCTAATTGCTCTACACTTTCTAAATTGCATTTTTTGTACTGCATTTTCTGTTATGTTCCATCTGCACTATACTTTTAACTCTGTAATTTAGTCTGCGAATCAATAAATTCTACTTGTTCTAGAACACGCCAAGTTTCCATTTTAAAAATCTAGAGCAAGTCTTCACCACAATTATAAATTAGTTTCAAGTTGGTTTAGATTGTGCACTTCACTTTTTGTTCTATTCCAGTTGCTCTACACTTTCTGAACTGCATTTTTTGTACTGCATTTTCTGTTCTGTCCCATCTGCACTAGGTGGGTTCGGCTTGCTCACTCCGTGCACTCGGAGTGACTCCATTTGCACTCCAGCCGTTCGGGTATTGCTTTTTACCGTATTAGGGGTGACTCCATTAGCTCTGTTCACTCCACTCCAACTCCGCGCTAAATAGCCGAACCCAGCTACTGTATTTTTAGCTCTGTACTTACGTTTGCGAATCATTAAATTTTACATGTTCTAGAACACGCTCAGTTTCCATTTTGAGAATCTTTACCAAAATTTTAAATTAGTTTCAAATTGGTTTAGATTGTGCACTGCACTTTTTGTTCTATTCTAGTTACTCTACACTTTCTGATCTGCATTTTTTGTACTGGACTTTCTATTTTGTCCCATCTGCACTGTACTTTTAGCTCTGTAGTTTCGTGTGCGGATCAACAAATTCTACTTGACCTAGAACTCGCT